CACCCCGCCAAGGAAGAGACACCTCTCTCAGCTGTGGACTCTAGTCCCAGAACAAGCAGAGATTCAGAGTTCCCGGAGCAAAGTCATGTACTGCAGGGCTACATAGCCAGGTAGCAGCAGAGCTGGGACAGGAGGTAGTGACGGCAGCATTGATTTCTGTAATTCTCCTTGTCAGTCCCAGTTAGCTCCTGGTGGAGAAACTCGTCTTTCTTCTCCTTTGGGCCTGTCTTATTAAGGCCCAGCCGGTGCCTGCTACATTCTGAAAGTGTGGGGTCAGCTACTTGCCCGCCTCTGTGTGATTGTGGACCAGTGACCCACTCACCTGGGACTATAACTCAGGGGTCGCAGCCCACCCTGGCTCATCACTTGGGTGGAATGGGTTTGCAGAGGACAAAGGCAGTGAACTGGGCGACAGGACACCCAAGTTCTCTCTCTTTCCACCATCCTGGGACCCATCCCCACCTCAGGTGATGCCTGCCTGAAGCTGGCCTCAGTTTCCCCATCTGTCAGATGTCCCACTGCCTCCCCCACCCACTCCCACCTACACCCGCCTTTCAGAGGCTTGCAAACATGTTCAGTCAAACCCTGTGGGGGTCAGTGGGCTGGGCCCAAGGAGGCACCTGGAGACTGCGGGGGAGGAAGGCCCCGGGCCAGGTGTTAACACTTGTAACAGGCTGGAATTACAGCTGCCTGGGGTTGGCGAAGAGCTGAGCTGGCTGGAGGCTGTTGATCCCACAGACAGACAGACAGACAGATGGGCAGATACCAGATCCGATGGCCAGGGTTTAACCGGGTGGTCTCCCTTTGAGGGCAGGCCTCTCCCGGAGGGAACACAGGCCAGGGGAGGGTGCAAGAATCCCTGACTCCTGGAAGTGAGTTAACAGTCCTCCTGACCCCACCTTGTGGGCAAGACTTCGAGTCCAAAGGGAGCAAAACAAGTGAAGCCAATCTGTATTCTTCTGAGGGGACCACGTTTTGCTAAAACGAAACTAAACAAGTCAAACGTAATAATCCCAGGAGCCTTGAGCTGAGTTGACTCCTCCCAAGACCTGCTTTAATAGGTAGGGGAAGGAACAATAGTCAAGGACTGTTCTCCAAAGTCTCAGAGCATTTTATCTACAGCTCAGAGGCCAAGAGATGAGTGATAGGTTGAGTGTAGATCGTTGGTTCTCAGCTCACTCCCACTTCATGGATCCTGAGGGTTAATGGGAAGTCTGCCCTACCATTAACCTTAGAAACCCTAGGGAACCATTTAGGACTGTCCTAGAGGTTTGCTGTGAGTCAGGATTGATTCATGACAGTGGGTTTGGGATTTTCTTGCCCTCATGGGAAGACTTTTGGGAGATCGATCGTAAGAGGCACGAGCCGGACTTTGGTGCCAAGCCCATTAACAGGCACCTATTAACAAATCCGACCAGCCCCCACACTCTGGCATCTGGGTGTTTTCCCAATCACTAATGAAGTTGGAGAAACTGAGATAGAAATCCCCAAAGAATAGACACAGCCAAACACGAGTGTCCCATCCTACTCAGAATCCAACCTGGTGCTAATAAACATTAAAGAGCTGGACAGCTTTGGAATTAAGCAAGTGACATGAAGATGTGGTGTAAGGTGTGTGAGTTGGGGCAGCTGTGACAGCATCTAGAGTCTGGTCTGAAAGGAGGGCAGAAGAGATGACTCTTCTCAGAGGCAGACCTTCCCGGAGAGAACGGGGAAAACAGTCTTTCAGGATGTGGTGCGCTCAAGAGGTCTTGTTATGAGTTACAGAATCCCAGTTAAAGCTACCAAGGAGGGAGAGACATTCTCCACCACCTATCTTATCCTATATTGGGGTTAAGATAGGTTAACTTAGCTATCTTC